GCTGAGGACATGCTGGGTTGCGCAGTGCGGAGGGATCCCACCAGCACCCAGGGAGATGGGGTGCAAAGGTGGGCACAGAAGGGGCTGCTATGGTTTGGACCACATGTAGGCTAATGAAAGCCTGTTCTGTGCTCATCAGGTTATTTGGGTGCTGGGCAGGGGCAGCAAGAATGTTCCCAAATAAACATCCTTCCTCCTTGGCCTCATCGCCTTCCTCAGCCCAGACAAGGATCCAGCCCACTCTTGGAACACATTTGTGCATCATTATTATTTCTTTCTTTAGTTGCTCATAAGGACAAAAAAGCAATATGGATTTATTTTAATTATTATATTTATTAACCTTTCAGAATAATACTCATTTGAAAACATACAGAAATAAGATAGTGGACCCCTCAACAGAAAGAAGAGCCAGATACCATAAATGTACGTTATCAACTGTGATTCAGTTGAGACAATCTTTGTTAAAAAAGAAATCTGATCACACAGATTTGTGCTGGAACACCCAGAAGCAGCTCTCCCCATTTTAAAGTACCTTTCTACCTTTCATATATCCCACGGCAAAGTGAACTCATGTTGTGCTCCACGGCAGGAAAACACGAACGGGTTTTAAATGCTATTACCACAACACTCTTTAATTTGCTTCCTTTACATTTTAGACACCTATGAGTGTTCTATCAGCAAGGCAGGTTTATGGCAAGAAAAAGGGCGAACAGAAGAATGGTGTGCCTTTCATCACTGCCTTTGTAGGGATCCTGTAATGTATGTACAGAACAAACAATGGTTGAAGCATATCACCAGTGCAATAACAGGGCACAATCACAGAGGAATACTTGGTAAAGGTTGGAGATGCTGAATAGACTTCATCTGCAGCACTTCCCACCTGCAGTGAGGGCAGGCGCCTGCAAACAGCCCCAGAGCCAAGGGCAGCAGCAGCCCCCTGAGGAACCGAAGACATTTTTCCAACACGAGCTCCCCACTTTACAGGGGCTGAGCAATAGAAAACAAGAAACGTGTTTAACAGGGCACCGATGACATTCATGCTGTGCTTTAGGCAACGCCGGGCGCAGGCAGCTTGTTGCTTGTTTCTCATCAGGGGAAGTGCCTCCCGGGAAGGGCTCAGGGTGCAGGCTAAGCACAGGGTTCATGTAAAGGGTCAGGGCTCGTTTTCCCCGGACAGCCTGAGCCATTCCAGCAGGATTTCCACACGAGCTGGGGCTGGGGTAGTGCAGCAAGTGGCAGGTGACTCATCTGCAGTTTGTTGGGTTGCGACTAAATCTATGGAAAATAAGCACTGAGGAAATCTGAAACTACAAGGTTTATTTCCCAAATGACAACTTCCTTCCACATATAGCTGCTGGGTTTGTGTTGGAGAAAATAGAGCTGAGGAACCTGCGTGACACAAATCCAGAGGGCAAGCAAAGACAATACAGCAAGACAGGCATCAGCAAACCAAAAGGGGCCCTAGACTCCCACCACAAGAAGTGAAGCAGGAAGCAGCACCCATCCAGCGGCTGGCAGAAGGGGCATTGTTCCCTGGGAGCAAGGACAGGCCACAGCCCAGTGCCCAGCACCGGGCTGCCTGTGTCTGCTGGAGCCCTGAGCTGGCTGGAAGGTGAGCCAAAGGCTTCAGGCACCTTCTAGGCAGAGCCACACTGCGCATCCCCGAATCCCCGAGACCAGCAAAACCCCACGTGGCCACCTCTCCTCCTCCCTTGTCCCCAGCAGGCAAACACAGCCAGGGTGCTCCAGGGGGCTGGTGCACCAGCACCCCTCTCCCAGCCAGTGCCCAGGCCCTTCTTGCAGCCAGATTTTCCACATACGCCTTTAGTTTTATTTCTAGCAAATGTGGTCATCAGCACTAGGCACTGATGTCCTAACGTGGCTGCAGAAGAAACAAAGCTTTGTCCACAGCAGAGGACAAACACATTCAAACAGATTGAAAATTCAGGTGATGGTCATGACCACGTCAGACTTCCATGCACCTACACATAGATACAGACTATATATAGCACGTGTGTATATATATAGTTTCTGCTGATAGTATATTCACACAGATGATGGAGAAGCAGTTAGTTCTCTATTCAAAAGCAGGGTACTGGAGCATAAATGATGACAGAAGAGATGGAATATACTTATTTAAGCCAAGCTGCGGAGCAGAGAAGCATATTGAATTTTTGCCATGTGGGTGGCTTACATTTTGTTTGCTTTTAGCCCTTAAGATGTTCAAAGAAACATTGATAAAATCCATGTACACAGAGGAAAACGTCCTTTTCATCACCGTTGCTTACTATCTTGATTAAACATAGAGAGAAATGACTTGCTAAACAAGGCTTAAACTGGAGTTCTCTCTCCAGTTACTCCACATACTCATTTTCTCTCTATCAACACAGGCAGCAGTTCAGCCTGAACATCTGGCAGCAGGACTTGGACACCTCCAGTGCTGCCCTTCCAGAAGGGCAGTGAGGAGCAGAGGGGCACAGCAAGCAGTGCCAGGGCTGTCCTGCACACCCCGAGCCTAACATCAAACACCAAAGTGCTGAGAAGAGAGAAGTGCTTTAAAATACTCTTTCCTTTTCTCCAGTGACACAATGCATAGTATTTCACACCAGTGGCCAAGCCAGTGGTACTGTCTAAAGCAGCATGTAGACTGAAGTGAACCAGCTACCACAGCTTCAAGGATCTATAGAGCACTGGCTCCATTTAATAAGTCAGTAGATCTGCTGATTAGACCCTTGATCTGTCCTGACTTCAAAGGGAAGCTGCAGCCTGGGAACAGAGCAGGCAACTGGAGTAGTTGTATTTATAGAAAAAGGAAAACACATTGATGCATTGAATGCATAGGATCTTAACCCACTTTTCACTAGTCAGCCCCACCTGTAACCTGCCAAACCACATGCACAAGCATAGTCTGTCCCTCACCTCTGAGGAGGAAATAAAACATTCTGCTTGAAGCACAAGGAGCAGCAATATACCTGAATTTAATGTGAGTAAGTTTGGCTTCAACTTGTTAAATCACCTGAAAACTTGTTCTTAGCAGGACAAGCAGAAAGAGCTGGTAATACGCAGTTACAACACGTATGGAACAGCAAACTTCATTCTCTCTGTTGCAAACACATATTAACACTTAGGAGTCATTAAATCATTCTAGCATCAGAGTGCAATTTACTCCCAGCAGAAAGAAAGTATTCTCCTGATATGCACTTCCCCATCAAAGCTCACTTATCATTGCTTATCAGCCCCAAAACTAAAAGATTCTGTATGTTACTTAGCAGAAGACAAGGATTTATAGAGACATTCAGGTTCTGGCCAAAGCTTTTGGCACTCCTTTCCTCTAACTTCTACTCTACAGATATTAATAAGCAGCACTAAATAGATCATCAGAAATGGAAGTGGTGGCTTAAAGCAGCTCAATGACAGGAATATGAAAAGCAGCAGATAGGGCCATTCTGACAACCACATTTCATTCCACTGTGCAAGAAGTGTTAAAACAAGACACAGGATACCACACCCAAGAAATACAACCTTCTTTCCTGAGCATGAACCCACATACTCAGATATTATCCTAGTGTCTTTTTACTAACCCATGTTTCCTCAACAGAAGAATAAACTCCCGTAATAATGTGCCAAATCTGTCACTGGGGTTCTACCCAAAACCCCCCTCTCAGAGTTGGAGCTGGCTGTGATGGCACTGGGGAGATGGATTCTGATTTCAGAAATACAGGGGAAGGAGGGAATGAAAACATATAAATGTATCTTACTACACATAGGCCATCTCCGAAAATTAAATCATTTCCTGAGCTGTGATGGTACACTTCCAGGAAGGCTGCATTACCGATACCTAAATTATTCTGACATGCCATTTATTATAGTCAATTTTATTTTGACACAATTTGACACAAAGTAAGTCATTTTTATAATACAGTTTGCCATGAAAACTGCTTAGTAGGACACAAAAGAAGTACTTGGAAAAATGCAGCAGTTGTCTGCCTTCAGCAGTAGCTTTACAATGGAAGAGGTGCCATTATTGTAGAAGAGGATATATTTTTGCAGAGCCTCATGCTGTTCCTTATCAAGGCTACAAAAACAAAGCAATCAAGGAAAACAAGTTCTGCTTTGTTGAGGGTAAACCACTGACATTTGAAGAGAAAAAGTCAGAATTTCATATAAAACACTTATCAGGCAAGTTTTTAAATTAAAACCCATTTTATGTTTAACACTATTCAGCTATCAGATGATGGGAGAGCACAATGCAGTCTCAAAACTGGAATATGAGTTATGTCATACCCTTACTGGTAATACTACTTAAGTGAACTACTGTGCTACTCATCCAGCAACGTGTCAATAAAGCCCCGTAACATCTTGTTGTTGGGTTTGGTTTATGGCTGGGAACACAAAGGCAGAATGGTTAACAGTTACGATTCTAGAGTCCCTAAAAATCAGGCCTCTCAAAATCAGGCCATTGGGTTATCTGTCCCTATAGCACTAAGGAACATGTTTCAAATCCAGGGGAAAAGCTCCAAGTTTCCACTTCTCAGTTCTTACTCAGAAATACCCCTTCTTGTCTACTTTGTCAGCCCTACCTGAGCAGCTTTCTTCAGGCATCAGTCCAACTGACCTCCCTGAACTCACTTCCATATGTCGCGTCCTTGCAAGCACTGATCAAAACACTTTGTATGGTATGAAAACAGAGATTGAAAGTAACCAGGAAACAAAAAGCAGGAGGGAAAAAGTGGGTTCAGATGCAGCAAAACCAGCAGCATGTCATGGAGTGCCACAGGCTGCTTCAGCACATGGCAGACAGTGTCCTCCAAACAAGCAAAAGCCTAACTGAAAGCAGCATCTATGTAAGGCAGTAAACATGCTATTTCATAATTAACCAACAGGCAGCAGCTCTTCTCATCAGTTTATTCAGATAAGACAGAAGCTTGCACAGTTTTGTATACAGAAATCATTTGAAATATATTAGTTTCTTTCCCCCTGCATATTTAACTCTGGACTTTGTTCTTGCAAAAGTGACCTTTGTTTCAGGATTCACGTTTCAGCAGTACATATGCTCCCATTACAGCCAGCAGAGCATACTGCAAGAGAAAACAGAGAATAAAGATGGTTGTAATGTCTCTTCGTTGCACACTTCTCCAAGCGCACCCTGTCCAACATCACACCTTCTAGGTCAGCACACCATTATGGAGTTGGGTTTCCACAGGTTCACAGGACTATTTCAGTGGGATCATTACAAACAGGCATCACAATTGCAAACACTTCTGGAATTCCTATAAACTAAATGTTTTCAAAATATTACAAATACTAAGTTCTACTGGGTAACAGGCTAAAGCAAGCAAGAGCACACAGCTCGCTTTACATTAGGTACAAACCCACAGAACCACATTATTAACACGTTTTCTTACAGGCAACATTTTTACAATCTTCACTTGCTATTTTAAAGCATCCAAAATGTCTGCATACATACCTTAAATTTCGGATAGTCATTCATTATTATAGTCACCATCCCAACGTAAGGCAGAAACCTGTAATTCACAAAGCAGCCGACTGTAAGATTAACCCTCAAATATTAAATGGAAATGTCTCAACATTAATCAGTGTTGATGTAAACCAATCATTTATCCTGCCACTAACGGATGGCTGAATGGGAAATAATTGCTTTTTCCCCTTAGATAAAAATTTGATCAACTTATGTGAGATACATCTTGGAGATCCACACCAGTGAGAGGAACCACAGAGGCAACTTTTCCACGTAAAGTACTCTACTTCCCATTTTCTCTAAGACATTCAAAACCCCCCATGCCAGATCCACTTTGTACCAGCTGATTTAAGTTCCACGTTTTCTTTCTATGTAACTATAAAGAACAGACATTTTCACTACTTACCCTCTTGCTCTTCCAACGACATCTTTCTTCTCTAACCAGTTCTGACCTTCTTTGTACAAGCCTCTATCATCGACTTCATTATTATCACCTTTAGTCAGAAATTTGATGTTCCCATTTCCTCTAGAAGGCAAAGAGATGATAAACTAAATACCGCTTAGTATAAAAGCCTCAATTAACATCTACAAAACACAACGAAGATAAACAGTGTTATCTAATCTTGCAGCACTTTTTGCTTCCAGTCCTGCTTATTCAACACCATTAAATCATTAACATTACAGACTTTACTGACAGAATTAATAGATTTTAACAAGAAATGCATTTTAAAAACTTTCGTAGGTTGTCATTTAATGTAAGCAATGACACGATGGACATGAAAGGGATATTGTCCATCCAGAGCAAAAGCTGTATGTGCCTATCAGGGGGAAAAAAACCCCAACCCTCTGCATTTTCAACAGATCAGAAAGTTAACTCTGAAATACTGGATAATCTCTACTAAGAGGTTTTTGTCTGTTTTATTTTTATTGCATAAATTGTAGAGCAAGATCTCCTGAAGACATCACACCTTAAGAGAATTAACTTAAATCACAAGTTTCACATGAAGTAGACCCTGAAGATCTTCCCTTGGGAAGGAAGTGGTATAACACCACAGTGCTTTGGGCAATTTGCTTCTAAGTTCCAGACACCTGTTTGACTCTCAGTACTCATATTTATGTCAAAAGAAAGCTTTGACCTTCCTTTGATGGAAACAGATATTGAAGACTCTCTAAAGCAGCTGCAAAGCTGCATCACATTCACCATTTGGTCACTAACACTCATACAGTTTTAGTCACTCACTGAACACCAGGCATACATGCAGAGATGCATACAAGACTTTGGTTCAACACTCACATTTAAAGAAAATGATTAAGTTATTAATTTTGCTCAAGAAGCTGCAACTGCAAGTAGTGCTATCAAGAAACAAAGAGTTTTCGGGAAGACAAATTAGATACTAAAAAAGAGGCAGTTCTTGGATGTACAGATTTGTTCCAGAAAGTGTTGAAGAACAGATACTACTCAAAAGATAAACACCTTCAGTTCATGGCCAGCACTTCCTGAGGAGCAAGTATGTCAGTGTTTGCAACCTCCAGTTAACTTTTCACTGTGCAGAATTAGAAACACCCTGCTCCTATACTGCTACTGCTGGCAAACCCAGTGTGTACAGCTTGTGTTACTGGACTTCTCTTTGGCACTCGTTCATCTACTTCAAACCTCTGATAAGGGACATGAGTCAGGGTCTCAAGAATGCCACAAAGCGTGCCACAGGACTGGGGACAAAAGTGCATCACACCCTAGAGATGCCTTTTCTTCCAGCATAGCCTCACTGCCTTCTGCCACAAAATACTAACAAATCAGAACATAATCAAAGCCACGGTGAAGGAGAGGACATTTAGAAACAAGGAAAACACCAAGTTGCATTACTTTTCATGTACTTTGATTACTCTGTGAACTATTGGAATGTCTCTGCCTTCAACTTTAAAAACAACTATTTCACCAGCTCTGATTGGGTCATCGTGGAAATTTGTTAAGAACAGCAGGTCTCCCCTGTGGAAAGCTGGTTCCATGCTGCCACTACAAACACAAAGAGAAGGAGACTTTATTAGCATGATGGGAAATGAAAGAAGAACCATGAAATAAAACAGATAAGCTCTCAGCTTCAACTGAAATGTGTTGCTACATCCATTCAGTAACACTGCACAGACATTTAAACAACCCAAGCCTCAGCAAGCCCCAAGCTGAGCCAGCCTATAGAAGACTTCCCTTACTGCCTCAGGGAAATAATGAGATAACCTAGATTTTCAAAGGTGTCACATACCTACTGCTTCTACAAACTGCAGTGAAAACCAGACTGCAATTACAAAAGGAGCCCAACTCTTACAGAACCAGAGTTAGAAGAAAGGAAGTGTCTGACAGCTCCTTTAAGTAGGTGAGACTTCAAATTCCAAAGGTATCCAAGGGGGAAGAGGAGGAGACACAGGACATAATAACATTTGGACTTGAACAAAAAAAGCCTTTGCGTTCACTTACCTAAGCACCACGACAATGGGGCTCTCACTTCCAGTAACCACAATCAGCCCTTTCCATATCATAAGGGCAGAAGACACAATCATAGCAAAGTTTAGGACTTGGTAATACAGCTGTACGAAACAAGAAAATCGTTTTGCAGAGTTACTGTGCTGTATTTAGAAGCACAACATAGAATTTCAACCCATATGCACCACTGAACCACACTCCAGGCATGTGGACTTCCACGCTAAAATCATATTCCAGCAGAAGCTGGTAGAACAGATGGCTGTGGTGCCAATCAGATCATACACACCATCCTGCAGCATAAATCCACTGTGTGCCTCAATCTTGGCTTATTCTGCCTGTGCAATGCTCCCATGTGTTTGTACAGGAGCTAGTGAACCCACTAGCAAAGGCTTCTAACACACACGAAGCCAAAAGCCAAATGATGACTATTTTGATCACAGGTTGCTGATTCCTCCTCGAGCTCATAAGTATTCAAAACACACTTAAGAAATACAGCGAGCTCAGTAACAGCAGACCTTGTGCTTTCAACAGTTCTTTTCGTTTAAAAAGAGAAGCTATGGGAATAGAAGGATCATGTCCTGCTATTCCCTGAGTCAAGGAATGGTTTGGGTTGAAGGGACCTTAAACTCCACCCAGTTCCACCCCCAGCCCCGGGCAGGGACACCTTCCAC